CTAGTTATCACTGTTTTTTTTTACTCTTCCATTGTAGCCATTCGGCAAGTTTTCCCCGTTGAAATATTAGGGTGGGTCTAGGGCCCATCTCAAGGTGGACACGGTCCGGACCGGTCCGGTCCCGGTCCGAGCCCACGTTTGGACCGGCCGCTGGCGGTCCGGGCTAGACCGGACCGAGCAGCATGACGGCCCTGATTTCAGGGACCGGACCGGCAACAACGAAGCCCGGGCCGGACCGAGCGGATCGGCCAACGACCACCGGCGGCGATTTGGACGGATGCAGCGGCGAGGTGTACGACATGCGCGGGTGCTGTGGCGAGGTGGGTGACATGCGCGAGCGACGGTGTCGAGGTGGGCGACGTGCCGTCGGAAGTGCGTGGGAGCCGCGGTTCTTTGCCATGAACGTGCACATGTTTGTTGATTAGCACTTTCTCTGTTGCATGCGACTAATCTATCGTGTGCATGAGCCCACGATTTCTCGTGTGCGGGCCTTGCTTGATTAGCGGATCAAATCGAACGTGGAGTTAATCGTCAAATAGTTACGTGATTTTTAGATCAAACCATGTTTCTCTCATACTTTCAGTTTTCTGTTTTAACATGATTATAGTAGGAAGCTGACCGTATAAAATCTACTCCAGCACCTTCCAAAACAACACTTGCCTGATTTGTTGGACGAGAAAATCATGGCCCAGCATTTCTCCCAAGATCCGAAAATCACGGTCGAGCGCGCTGTTGTGCTGAAACTGTTGCCATGATCGAGAACTCGCGAAAGGCGGCAGTGCACGCATGGCAGCGATGGCGAGCGGCGGAAAGAGGCTATGGGGCACGGGGAGGAGAGGAAGGAAGGAGAGGGCAAGCTCGGGGACACAATGGTTCACCCAGGGGCTGCCGGTTGCCGCGACGATGACTGCGTTTCTCGATCCGCTAGTTCGGCTCGGTTAAAGAACGGACCGGACCGACATTTTCTCAGGCCTGATCTGGCAGACCGGACCGTCCAATTTACCTAGCAGGCCAGGACCGAGCAGGTCAAGACCGAGTGGGCCATGAGCGGGCCGAAAAGCCCGCTCGGTACGTCCACCCTAAGGCCCATCTAACAATTTCAGAAAATCTCTAAGGGTTCATGTGGGTTAAATGGCAATGGGTGTGGTAGGAAGTTTAGTCCCTATTGCTAGTTGGAGACGAGTTGGACCTCCTTATAAGGGATTCTCTTCCATATGCTATTGGAGCTTGAGAAGAGAAGAGGTTCCCGCATGCTCCTCCTCCCTCGCGCCGCGGTTTGTGGGAATGAGCCGAGCCGAGCTCACGCCTATGCGCTTATTTTTGTTGGTCTGGAACAGACAGGTGAACCACGATCTGAGACGTCTCATCGTGGGCTGTTACCGACTCGAATGCGAGTCTAGTCCATGTCTCTACACCCGGACACGCCTAACTCTAACTGATTTGGTTAGCTCCATGTTAGATACATCGGGTTTATCCAAAGCATGACGGGGAAGCTATATTAACATCATGTTATGTCATGAATAAAGTTTCGATAAAGGATAACGAGATCACTCCCTATGAGAAATGGGAGAAGAGAAGGACGACACTCTCATATTTACGTACTTAGGGCTGTTTGGCGAAAGTCAATGTGCCTATCCCAAAAAGCGTAAGCTTGGACCATAGACTATGGACTGTGTTAATTTTCGCTACACTAAGAGTAGTATTGGCTATAGATTTCTAGTAGTGAAATCTGAGGTACCTGACCAGAAGGCTGGTATAATCATGGAGTCTAAGGATGATACATTCTTCAAGGATAGTTTTCCTATGAAAGATATGCAAAGCACTTGTAGACATGAATCTGAGGAGACCTCTGAGCCTGCCATTTCCATGAAATATTATGAACAAACACATGATAAAAATCCAGAGGAGGATGGCAAGGAAACCCTTGGTAGGGGTAAGAGACAAAGGAATGCAAAGACCTCTGGTGATGATTTCCTTGTGTACCGCACGGACGATACTCCTACATCTATTTCATGAGTGTATGCATCTGCAGATGCTGACTACTAGAAAGATGCGGTCCATAGCGAGATGGATTCCATCATGGCTAACGGGATATGGGAGATCACTAAACGTCCCTATGGTTGCAAACCTTTGGGATGTAAGTGGGTGTTCAAAAACAAGTTTAGGCACGACGGTATGATTGGAAAGTACATGGCTAGGCTTGTGGCTAAGGGCTATGCCCAGAAAGAAGAGGAAGATTTTTTTCGATAGTTATTCACATGTGGCCAGACTGACCACCATTCGAGTATTACTCTCTTTGGCAGCCTCGCATGGTCTTCTCGTCCACCAGATGGATGTTAAGATGGATTTCCTGAACGGAGAGCTAGAAGAGGAAACCTATATGCAACAGCCAGATGGCTTTGTGATAGATGGTCAGGAAGGAAATATGTGTAGGTTGCTGAAATCTTTATATGGCTTGAGACAAGCAACTAAGAAATGGCAAGAGAAGTTTAATACAACTCTGACATACTGATATTTGGAACCAACATCAAAATTATTGAGGAGGTCAAGTCGTTTTTATCTCAGAACTTTGAGATGAAGGACCTTGGGGAGGCTGATGCTATCTTGTACATCAAGCTACTAATGATGAGGGTGGGATTACGCTTCTGCAATCCCATTATGTTGAGAAGGTTTTGAGTCATTTTGAATATTTGGACTGAAAACCATCTCAAACACCACACGATACTAGTGTGCTGATTCAAATGTTCGAAGGCACAACTAAAGATCAATTGAGATACTCTCAAATTATTGGTTCACCCATGTATCTGGCGAGCGCAACGAGGCCTGACATCACATTTGTTGTGAGCAAACTGAGCTGGTTTATTTTCAAACCGGATGATGTACATTGGCATGCTATTGAAAGAATTATGCGCTATCTAAAAGGTACTATGGACTTCACTATACCGGATACCCGTTGGTACTTGAAGGGTATAGTGATGCTAATTGGACCTCTGATGCTGATGAGACGAAGGCCACAACTGGGAATATGTTTACTCTTGGAGGTGGTGTTGTTTCCCGGAAGTCTTGCAAGCAAACGATCTTAACGAGATCGACAATGGAAGCAAAACTAACATTATTATACACGTCTGGTCTCGAAGCAAAATGGCTTGGAGATCTGTTGATGGACTTGCCATTGGTTGAGAAGCCGGTTCCGGCTATCCTTATGAACTGTGACTATCATACCGTTATTGTCAAATCAAAGATTTCAAAGGACAACATGAAGTCCAACAAACACATAAGAATGCGATTAAAAGCTGTCAAAAATTTAAGGAACTCCAGAGTGATAGCGTTGGATTATATCCAAACGGCTAAGAATTTGGTAGACCCGTTTACTAAAAGGTTTATTGCCTATTTTGATAGACAATGCATCGAGTGAGATGGGTATGAGGCCCGCGTGAGTTGCCATGGTGGTAACCCAACCTATGTGATCGGAGATCCCGTGAAGTAGGAATGGGAGCGGCGGTATGAGTATATGATAGATGTGGCAACGTGCCCGATTTGTCACACAACAGCAGACTCACGACAACATGCATTATTGGACTACAACATGTCCAAGAGAGTTTGGTCATTGCGTGATGATGATTCCTTGCGTCCAATCTATGGCGATGAAACTACTGACCCAAAGTTGTGGCTGCTCGATCGGTTTATGCAATACTCTCAGCAGGGAAATTTCATCTTGGTTCTTCTCACATTGTGGGCAATCTAGTGGGCTAGGAGGAAGGCAATCCATGAGATTGAACTACAAAGCCCACTGTCTACACATCATTTCATCGAGAGGTATTTGCATGAGTTTCAGGATCTCCTAGCCAAGAACCAAGGTTCCAAACCTACTGGAGCTCCGGCGACGGGGCACAGTATGGCATGGATTCCGCAGCAGAGTGACATGCACAGTATGGCATGGATTCCGACTTATTTTTGGGTGCCTCTGTGGTAGTATTTCAGGCCTTCAGGGAGTCACCGAGCCAGCGACGCTGGAAGCATATACATGTAGGGAAACTCACGCCCTCACCAAGGACTTGGTCGTGAATAGAGTGTGAATCACATCTGACTATCTGAGAGTCATTAACGACCTGAAGAGCCCGGTCCATCTCGATAAGTACTGCATGATCTTACAGGAGATCAATGAAAGGAAGCAGAAGTTTCAGGGCTATGAGCTCGTCCATGAGCAACGCTGCAAGCAATGACGAGGCACATAGATTAGCTAGCTAAAATAGCCACTACCCTAGACATTGGCTGACATAAGTGGCTCATCGATCCACCAAATCATCTTTGTATTCCCCTAAACTTTGAAACATGAAATAAAGTGCGCTGTTTTTCTAAAAAGAAAATGATCATGACCAAAGGGCAGAAAAAATCATGAGGAACAACTAGATGAAGTTACGGTGTAGAAACATCAGAGAATTTTATTTTCACATCATAGAGAAATCAAAGAATTGCTTACACAGAAGTAAAATTTTATAATCTCCTGTAGAAAAATAGGTAAAACTCGGAGGTATGTGCCACCTTTTTTTTGGAAAAGGAGGTATATGCCACCTAGAATTGTAGTATGCAGAACAAAAACTGGTCCTTGGGCGTGACAAGCGTGGCGCGGAAAAATCAGACCTGAACAAAATTCAGGTACCAATCCAATAAAATAGGTGGAAGTTAGTTGAGAAGACTGAATTGTTAATGATGGAGAGTCCCTTTCCGCCTTTGTCGGGCGGAAGAGAAGAGAAGAGGAGGTGCAGCGGCAACCGGACCATGACTCAGCAGCAGGTGCTCACACATAATCTCTTCTTCTTCTCGAAGGAGATAAGATCGAGTGCTGGGCGTACGAGTGGCACCACCGAGAGACCCCCGGAGCCCCTATAAATCCATCGGCGCCTCCGCTCTCCTCGACGACGACGAGGTCCGACAACAGTGCAACGAAGAAGTAGAAGTGCTCTGTTTTGGTTCGATCAAGAACAGAGAGCGGACCATCGATGGCTACGTTCGCCGCCGCAACTGTTTCCCTTCCAGGGCGCGTTGCCGGAACTCGGCGGTGTGTGGTGGCGCGGGCGTCTGCGACGATGGCGGTGGCCGGGAGGACGCACTACGAGGTGCTCGGGCTGGGCGCGGGGGCCAGCAGGGAGGAGATCAAGGCGGCGTACCGGCGTCTTGCCAGGGACGTGCACCCGGACACTGCCGGTGGAGGTGGCGACGAGGACTTCATCCGGCTGCACGCGGCTTACGCCACGCTGGCCGACCTCGATGAGCGCGCGCGCTACGACCGGGACGTGGCCGGCCGCGCGGCGGGGACCATGATGAGGCGGGCTGGGTCGACGGGGCCAGCATTCCGGCGGAGGACGTGGGAGACGGACCAGTGCTGGTAGGACGGCCGGACACACGCATGTTCTGCTTTCCGGTTCGCCAGGCCGCGGGCCGTTTGGTTCAGACATGGCGCGCTGTTGTGGTCGTGGTCGTCGGAGTTAAAACCGCGTCAGCTACCGCACGTCGGTCGATCTGTCTTGGACGGCCCAGATCAGGTGACGCGTGTGTACCGTGAGACGGCGGGAGACGTTTTTAGAAGATCTCCTGTGCGTTCGATCATTACCAAGATGCAAAATACAGTATGTACTACTAGATCAATTAGTCCACTGTAAGTTAACGGCTTAAAGCCAAGAGATATGTATAGTTCTTGGGAATCACCATAGATCAAACTACTGATCTTTTCATGCGCGTCCACGTCTCCGTGGCCGTCATGTTTGCAATTACAACAAAGGGCATGTCACAATTGCAACAAGGCTCTTGTTGCAAAAGACTAATATTACAACCACCTCGCAAAAAAAAAGAGAGCAGTCCATGCGCAGTGGCGAAGCCAGAAAAATTGAATGGGGGAGGGGAGGGGAGTGATGTCAAATCGGGTTGGGAGAACCAAACCATAGAAAATTAGGCTTTTAGCAGCAACTAGTGACTAGTTTTCCATTGTTTATAAGCAAATGAGGAGTAAATCCTTGATGTGAGGGGGAGCCAGGGTCCTGCTGCCCCCCGTCTCCGCCACTGTCCATGCGATCATTTTTGGGATATTCTCATATCACTACTTTGATAACATAAGGAAAGAGTATTGTGATCATGTTACCAAAGTTATCTCTCGGCGAGGAGATAATCATGCCTGACGATGCCGTAAATCCGCATCGAAATAAGACAATCGTAGTAATGACAAGGTGAAGAAACGACGATTGGAAGTGTTTTTCTTTGCATATAATTATGCCTTTTCTGCCCTTGCGGTACCGAGTTAAGAAGCAAACAAGTTTGTCACTGAGTTCATATCGTTTAGAGAAAACAAAAGTATAAATAAGCTTGAAATAATTAATAGATTTCAAAAAGAAGAACCACTCACTAAATTCTGCAGCCAAATTAATGACAAGGGGAAGTCCAAAAAATTGATAACTGGAGGCGCTTCCCTTGGCGTAGAAGTATGCTTTCTCGTCCTTCAGGTAGTGAGCTAAGAAACAAACTATGGACATGCATGTCTTCTGTCGTAAGTTCGCATGACTGAAAAATAATAATAAGATAAAGTAAGTGTGGAATAATTGATAGATTTCGGGAAGAAGACTCAGTTCCTCGGTTTTACAATATCTATCTGGTCCCATGCTTGTATGTTGAAGACAAAACTTGTATGACATTTCATTGGATTAGACCATTATTTGTCTTGTTTTTCTTTTGGAGAAACTTTTGATTTATTCATCAATTATCATGTCAGTACAAAGAACATCAAAAGTAACTGAAATTACGTCCAGGCTCATAGACCATCTAGCAACAACTACAGTTATTGGAGCAACGCGAAGGTGCACCGTCGTCATGGCCCCAACCTCATCGGAGTTAGATAAACGTTGTTGTAGTACACAGTCAGGAAGTTGTCGTATTAAGGCCCCACTGAACCAGCACAACAAACCAACAACCAACCCCGATGAAAAGAGGCGTAGATCGAAAGAATCTAACATGTAGACACGCCAACGTAGACGAACGGAGACGGGACCAGAACAGGTCCATCGAAGACAAGCACCGACTAAATCCTGTGAGATTCTTCGGAGACACACCTCCACGCACCCTCCGATGATGCAAGACGCACCGTCGGGACGGGAACTAGATGGGGAGAACCTTATTCCATCTTCAGGGAGCCGTCGACGCTTCGCTTTGTTAAGCAGGAAACCCTAACCAAACTCAAAAAATACCTAAAACCGGAGCAGGGGCCCTCCCACTGCCAAGGGCCAGGATCCACCGCACCTCCATGGCCCTAAGGCCACGCGAGACATGGCAGACCGATGGCGGCGGCGGTGGGTGACATGGTACCCTCGTCACTTGGGGAGCCACCTTTCATGAGGAGGAAACCATTTTGCGTCTAGGGAATGAATGCAATTGTTGGTCTTGTTAGACGTATGACTCATCTATCGAGCATTAGCAAATATGATACAATTTCATCAAAAATAAGTTTTATTTTGCACCATAATGATTAAGAACCGAAGAGTATGCATAGATAGATTGGTTATCATAATATGTTTTGCGCCTAAATATGAGTAAGAAGCTGTAAAATGTTTAGGAATAAATACTTTTGGAGATATTATCAATACATACATGGATAGTGTATGTGTTGATAGATTGGTTATCATAATCTGTTTTTTAGATTATTTTTCTTATGGATTTTGGGGATGATTGTTTTTTAGGTCAATTGGAATTTATTATTCTCTTTGCGAGACCAAAAATTGTCTCGCCTCCTGCTGAGCTACCGATCCAGCCCAATAACGTACATTCCTGTAGTGGTTTGAAAAGATTTTATGGAGCGGTTTTAGAAGCTTCTGCTTGTTTTTTTCTTTTCGTTTTCTGTATCAGTTTTCTTTGATTCCCCCCCTGCCTTTTTTTGTTTTTCTTCATTGTTTCAAATACATCTCGACTTTTTTAGTACAAGTTGGAAATTTTTAAGCATACACTTGAACATTTTTCAGATACACGTTGAACATTTTTCAAACATATGTTGAACATTCTTTTCCGAATACATGTTGAACATTTGTCAAATGCACATTCAACATTATTTTTATAAACAGGTTGAACATTTTCATATAAAAGTGGAACATTTTCAAATACACATTGAACATTTTTTCGAGTACATGCTGAACATTGTAGTGAACATTTTGTCAAATTCACAGTGAACATTTTTAAATTACACGTTAAACATATTTTAAACATGCAAAAAAATTATGTTTTAAACATTTGAATGTTGGGGAACATTTATGTAAATTATGCTAAGATTGTTTTGCACTGTTCATTTTAAATGCCACTAATATATTTTTGAAACGCATGAATACTTTTAAATGTGGTGAAAAATTTCATGAATGATATAAAACTTTTTATGAACTATGTGAACAAATATTTATAATTTTATGGACAATTTTTATAATATAACAATGAATTTTTAAAATATGTGAACATTTCCTCAATGGCACGAATATTGTTTTGAATGGCATAAATATGTATATGTATATGTATATGTATATCTATATCTATACCTACTAATAAAGCAAGGTGATATTTTTAGTTTCGTCCCACTTAAAATGATCTTATGTTTAAAATATATACGTGAGGTGGTATTAATTCGAGGTGGTTGCTAACTTCGTATAGCTGCTTTCGGATCGATTGCTGCTTGGGGCCGCGTCTCGCTCCACCGGTACTGGGCCAAGAGCCGAGCAAGCAAGTGGGCCTTCAAATTTTTTATTGTGGGCCATTAGTATATGGGTAGGCTTTCTAGAATAAACAAAACTACTGTTGCTTGCATGGTTGTTTGATCTCTCGGCCAGCTAACTACCAAACGTTGCTAAAAGAAGCTAACTACCAAACAAAAAACAATGCAGCTACAGCTAGCTGATGACTTCCCGCCAAAAAATGGAGTTAGCTGATGACTATATTTGTCGAAAAAACTGACAACTATGCGAGAAAGAGGTTTGTTTGCCAATAAAATAGTCCCATCTCACTTTTTAACACAAAATCTGACCAATTTATATACTTGCGCGAGGTGCTTGTAGAAACAATGAGCCGCTTGGGGAAGCAATAAACATCCGCAAAAAATAACTTGGATTGGGGGCTGCATGAGATAAATAGAGGAGGGCACAAAAAGCCTAGGGTTTCCGTGGCCTCTCGTCGGGCAGTCGCCAGGCCGCCTCGTCTCCAATGCTTGAAGTCGTCGCTAGGTGCTCTATGGACCTGGATGTAATTTTTACTTCCGGTGTTTGTTGTACTACCTTGACAGTTGATAAACAAATCAGAAGTTTTCTCGCGAAAAAATAGAGAAGGACATGAACCCTGTGTGGGTTGCATGGGAAACATACTAAAAACAGAAGAGAGAGAGAGAGAGAGAGAGAGAGAGAGAGAGAGTGGTAGCAGCTACAGCTAGCTGATGACTTCTCGTCAAAAAATGGAGTTAGCTGATGACTATGTTTGTCTAAAAAACTGACAACTATGCGAGAAAGAGGTTTGTTTGCCAATAAAATAGTCCCATCTCACTTTTTAACACAAAATCTGACCAATTTATATACTTGCGCGAGGTGCTTGTAGAAACAATGAGCCGCTTGGGGAAGCAATAAACAAACGGTAATCCACAAAAAATAACTTGGATTGGGGGCTGCATGAGATAAATAGAGGAGGGCACAAAAAGCCTAGGGTTTCCGTGGCCTCTCGTCGGGCAGTCGCCAGGCCGCCTCGTCTCCAATGCTTGAAGTCGTCGCTAGGTGCTCTATGGACCTGGATGTAATTTTTGCTTCTGGTGTTTGTTGTACTACCTTGACAGTTGATAAACAAATCGAAAGTTTTCTCGCGAAAAAATAGAGGAGGACATGAACCCTGTGTGGGTTGCATGGGATGAAAACATACTAAAAACAAGAGAGAGAGAGAGAGAGAGAGAGAGAGAGAGAGAGAGAGAGAGAGAGAGGAGGGAGATTTAAATGGGATTGTGGGTTGTGGCTGAGATACAAGATTTCATGGGACTGTAAGAAGAGTAATATTTAAAGATATCGTCGTGCCACCCTGGTGAACTTTTTAATGGACACATAGTATTTTTCTCTCCCATTACAACGAACGGGCATTTGTGCTAGTACCTTATAAATGCGGGAACAATTTTTTTACTCTGCATTTACATTTTCTAAATGTGTGATGAACGCTATTAAATAGTTCAGTAAATCAATTTTTGGAACATATGTCTTTAGAATTTTTACAAATATATTTTAAAAAATCAAAAAAGAAATAAAAATAGATAAACGAAGGAACTAGACATAAACAGAAATAAACAAAGGAAAGAACAAAAACGGAACGACCGCTGCTGGGCTGGCCCACTGTGGAGGCTGCT